GTTCACAAAAGATTGAAGTCCCAACCAAGAAAATACCGGAATGAAATCAGTTACTGTGGTAACTAGTTCTTCCTCATGCCAATAAAATCATCTGGTGATGATGGCAGTCAGATAGAGGGTGAGATTGAATTTACGATAATGTAAAATGTCCGTGGTCATTCGTGTCACAAATGAATGGTGAACCGATTAAAAAAATACGTCCCTGAAAGTAAAACTATCCATGAGATTACTTCAGCTTTAAGAGCCTTGCCCAGTAGCTTCCTTGTAGGCAGCTTTGCTGAAATGCTATAAAGCTTTTATCGGTTGAATTGACCAAAGGTTTTATTAGTTTATTTATTGTACTTAAAACTCCCAAAGATTGTTTGTGTGAAGTGAAATATATTTTTGTTAAGTTTAAATATTTTACAAATTTAACAATCTAAACATTTTCTTGACAGAGTTTTACAACCGTGACGAAGGAACATGAGAAATCTCAAGGAAACGGAGTAACAGAACGCTGTTCAAAAATGAACTATTCTTATGATCAGAAGATTCCTGATAGCATGTTTAGAAATAGTCTTCTACCATTAAAGAAGTACAATGTTACGTTTTGTAGAGTACCAAAAGGTGCATCAACATTTTGGACACGACTATTGGTGTGCTTAGAAAGAGATCTATGGAAACCACCTTTTGTGTTTAAACCAAATGATGGCAGTGTAAAATTAAAAGATGACTTTAATAAGATTTCTGTGCAAAAGGCATATGAAATAGTAAAGGATACAAAGAATCTTATGTTTAGTAGAAATCCATATTCAAGAGTACTTTCGTTCTACGTAGATAAACTATTTTCTCCTAATTCATTTTTTTTGGAATGCTCTTGGTGTTGGAATTACAAAACGAAGCAGAGGAATCGCAACATGTGGACATGACGTGACATTTAATGAGTTTGTTGATTATATCATTAATACTCCATCCAAAATGAGAGATTACCACATCATTCCAACCAATGACGTTTGCCGTCCGTGTAATATTAATAATCATTTTATTGGGAAAATGGAAAATTTTGAAAACGATGTTTCTAGAATACTTAAAGAAATTGGTGCGGAATCATATCCGTATTTTTCAGAGAATTTCAAGAAAGAATATACATCGGACGCAATCTATGATATTGTACAAGCTTATTTTTCATATCGAAGGAATACAGATAAATGTATAGACCGCCATACTGGAATAAAACGTGTTTGGCTGAAGTTACAAATAAGAGGAATAATTTCACAAGCAATCCCAGTACCTTTCACATCAAAAGAATCTCAGAGCCTCTCTCTTCCGAAATTACTCAATAGTATTATTATAGCACGTGATATATCTGAAAAAGAAGACATGAAAGCCCAAAAATCAATGTTTATTACACAGGCATACTCAATGATTCCTTTAGATACCATGATTAAGCTTCAATCAGTATACAAAGAGGATTTCCAAATATTCAACTATTGTCTCTTTCCTATTTGTTTGGACCAAGACGAAACAGTACAATAGATATATTTCGTTTAAAATGAGATACAAAAAGACTTAATCGATATTAATTCCGAAACGTAAAGTACAAACAGTCTTCTTCCATGGAGAGAATTTAAGGCGAAATGTCTGTAATCAACTACTCCACGGATTTAAAAAAAAATAGACATGAATAGGTTTTACAAATTTACACCAAAAAATAAAAAAAAAATAAAAAAAATGGGGATAACAGTTCTAGTTTTTGAGATACGAGCTGTTGAAATTAATATTTTGATAGTCCTTAACTACAAAGTATATATAGGGGAAATCATAAAAACCTCTAATTTTTAACTAGATACCAAAACGTCACAAAATTGAAAAGAAAAAAAATCTTGCCAAGTAATTTAATTTCACTTTCAGATATATTGAGGATGTCCTGTCACTTAATAACTCACATTTCAGTGAGTGGTTGCATCGGATATATCACATTGAACTTGAAAATAAGGATACTACCGCATCAAAAAGATCTGCTTTATTATCTTGATCTGTTTCTTGATATTGAAAATGATGGCTAACTTAAAAGAAAGATCTATGAAAAACGAGATGATTTCAGCTTTTCCATTGTTAACTTCCCATAACTTAGCAATAACATACTCTCTGACCCATCGTAAAGCGTTATCATATTTAAATTCATGAACAGGGGTGTTCTGAAGATACAAAAACTGTTCCAACAGAGTAATGAGGAAGAAAGACTGAAATCGATACTACATAAGTTTAACCTTCAGCATCACGAATTGGTTGACCAATACGACGTGTATGTGTCTCATCACTCAAGCGACATGTTTTTGCGTTCTTAAATCTATACAAGGGCGAAACCAGGATTTTTTTAAAACTGATGTAATTCAATAAAACTTAAGAAATACCTCCGAACGTAGCGAGGCGAAATTTTTTTTTTTATGCTATGAAATGAAATATTTTCCAATCAAAAGGGGATGTATGCCCTCTTCCCTTCCTGAATCCACCACTGTCTATATGTACTAGAATAGTCGTCTGATCTTTACATTTACCGATTGTGTCATATTCCCTCCTGATGAATATTACTCTGTGGATTCGCATGGCGGGTAAGGCATGCATAGCTCCGTTTAGAATTAATGTTTGTTTTAATTTTGATGTGCAGATTCATCGGTTAACTATTGTTGCCTCTATCTTTGAATGCATCTATTACAATAATAAACGGTCTAGAATATATGAATTATTGTTCCTAGACATGCACAAACATGATTAATGGTTTTAATTTCTTGATTGACAATATTTTGTTCGTTGTGGCATGACTATATTTTGTAAAATTAAACTTAAATGGGTTTTAATTTCGCAATTTTATTGCAGATCATATTTCTTTACTTTTCGAATCTTCTTGCATGTAAAACTTTAGAAAGGGAAATTTATAGAGAAATTAACACTTTAAGTAGATACTATGATGATGTACTTTCTGTTGATTATCCCGAGTTTATCAAATATGATAAATGTATTCATCCCAAAGAAAACTAATACAACTGTTGATAATAAAACTGAGAATGGAAATGGGGAATGTGTCAAAGAGACAACAAACCGACTGAAGAGCAGAAAACAGCCCAAGGCCACCAATGGGTCTTCAACACAGCGAGAAGATGTCCATTTTTAGACATATGGCAAATTGAAATAGATAGGGACGAAATCATCACAAATCTTTCTTTTTAAATGGCGATTTTCCTACTGTCGCGTCCTATAATGTGTACATTCTACAACTAATAAGGTTTGCTAAAATACATTCTAATAAAGCGGACTTTAGTGATAGTTACCTTGCATTAATCACTGAAATATCGCTTTACATGATTTCATTAACCACAGACTTTGGAATACTTTCAAAAATGTTTGCATTCGGAACCAGCATAGATCCTTTATATATAATGTTTTCTGAAAATTATAATATTAAACAGTATTACTCAACTTACCTGTTAAGGTAGTAGACCTAAAAATTGAAAAATTATGTATACAAACTCGTGAAAAATCTTAAATATTTCAGCAGCAAGGGGGCTACATGTGGATGTACTAACTAAAATTGTTCTTTCTTTCTATGGTCTGACGATTCTAAATACGTACTTGACTCTCACTAACACTGCCTATTTCAATTGAATTTCATGATGAGACTGCAGTCATCTTGATAGGAGGACTGTTTCTGTTTTTTTCCTTACTTCAGCGGCATTATTCAACCAATAATTTTATAAACTATAGCTTTTTGTAGTATCGAGCACTAGTTGGTCCTGCTAAAGTAATACAAACTTAATATTTTTGGAATAAGGATGAGGTAAGCTAGCGTCTAAAAGGGGATTTTCTTAAAACTTGAAATTATTATTCCTACCTTCATTTTATTAACAAGGGTATTTTTAAGGTGAAAATACCTTCAACTTTTCTGTAGAGGCGTATTTTAAACAGTTCAAAAGTTTTTCATTTTAACGATTACGTGTTTTTTTTTCCCTATAACTTCACTTTTTTTTTAATCTGAAAATTATAGTCATTTAGTCGGCTTATGCCGCTAACATTTTTGTATTCAAAACAGCGAGTGGTTATTTCGTATTTGTCATTTTCCCTCAGCCAAACGAGAGGCGAAATATACCAAAGGGACATTCAAACTCATAAGTCGAAAATAAACTGACAACGTCATGGCAAAAAATGAAAAAGACCAAAAGACAAACAACAGTACATAAACCGACGATAGGAAACTAAAGACTGAGCAATACGAACCCAAAGTTGACTTTAGATGGATTTGGCTATTATTTTAGGTACTTTTTGGTCATATAGCTCCTGAACTGTTCTGGTTCTTATACATCCTAGGCTTTCAAAAATTCATGCTGCAGGTAAATCCAGAAAAGCGATTCGGACACATGACATTTATAAAGTGTTGTTTTAATTTTTGCAGTAATAATGCATTATATAAAAAGTAAATTAACAAAAATACCGAACTCCAAAGAAAATTCAAAACGGAAAATTCCTTATCAAGTGGCAAAATCAAAAGCTCAAACACATCAAACGAATGGAAAACAACTGTCATATTCCTGACTTGGTACATGCATTTCCTTATGTAGAAAATGGTGGATTAAACCTGTTTTTAGAGCTAGCTAAACCTCTCACTTGTTTAACAGTCGCCTAAAATTCCATTATATTGACAACAATGTGTAAACAAAACAAACAGACATAATAGGTAAAAATGTCAAAAATAAGGGTACAGCAGTCAACATTGTGTTATAATCTTAATCACTATAAAAACAAACAAATATGTCAACAAAGAAAAACAAAATGGCATATAGACAAAGCACATAAGCAAAAATGAAAGACAAGAATACAAAAAATTACCATAGCACAATAACAGAATGACAGGATGTATAAGTACCGAGCCACGCTAAATGGATGTTACCAAAAAAAAACTAAAGAGTTAAGGTTAATAATTTACGAAGACGAATAAAAGAAAACTATAACACGAATAAAGGTTCAAATTTTACGATTCATTTAGTTCATTAATTTTATTTGCAAATAAAATTCCTGAACAAGATGGTGTTATATGGTTTTTATCATTCGAATATCTTTACATGAACAGTATATCAACTATCACAGTCTTCTCTTGGACGAATGTTATTTTAAACAATAAATATTTCTTTTGCTGTGTTCCTTTTTGCTTTAAACAAATTTTTAGGGAAAGATTCATAGTTGAATATTTGAAAATCCTCTTTGTACACTTTTTGTAGCTTCATCATTTTATCTAAAGGAACGCTTAAGTATGCCTCTTTAAAAAACGTTGCCTTTTGATCCTTCAACTCTTCATTTAAAGAGTCATCGCGTGCTTTCAAAATAGTATTCAGTAATTTTGAAAGTGTAATAGTCTGTGATTCTTTTGAAGAGAAAGGCATTTGCACTGATTTTGAAATGATTCCTCTTATTTGTAAAACCCGCCAAACACGTTTTAATCCAGTTTGACGGTCTATGCATTTATCTGAATCTTGTCGAAATGAAATATAGGCGTGTGCAATATCATAAATAGAGTCTGCTGTGTATTCTTTCCTAAAATTTTCCGAAAAGTATGGATATGATTCCGCACCTAATTCTTTTAGTATATTGGAAACATCATTTTCAAAATTTTCCATCTTGCCAATGATATCATAAGGAATAATACATGGCCGGCAAACATCATTGATTGGTATAGTATGGAAATCTCTTGCGGTGGATGGAGTGAAAATAATATAATCAACTAACTCGTTGAATGTGACATCATGACCACATGATGCGTTTCCTCGGCTTCGTTTGGTAATACGCACACCGAGACTATTCCAATAATATGGATTAGGAGAAAAGAGTTTATCTACATAGAACGAAAATATTCTTGAATACGGATTTCTACTGAACATAAAATTTTTAGTATCATTTACCCTTTTATATATCTTTCGAATAGGGAACCTATTAAAATTATCTCTTAATTTTACACTGCCATCATTAGGTTTGAACACATAAGGTGGTTTCCATAGATCTCTTTCTAAACACACCAATAGTCTTGTCCAAAACGTCGATGCACATTTTGTTACTCTACAGAATGTAACGTTGTACTTTTTAAGTGGAAGCAGACTATTTGTGAATATCCTATTTGGTATCTTCCCATCATATCTATATTTTATTTTTGAACACCGTTCTGTTACTCCTTTTAGACCAAATCTTCCTTTTTGTTTTGACATAGCTGTAATAGAAACGGGAGAAGATTATATTTTGCAATTTCAAACGAAACCAAATTAAAGAGTACATAAGGGGAAGACCATTTGATTTTCTAGGGGTGGGGCTGGACAAGAGGATTTTGATAATGAATAACTGGTCCTGGTACGAACTGAAAATTGATTGCACAGAAGTTTAGGAAAATTTCTACGTTTAATAAACATTAAGTCCGATAGTAATTGTAACGTTGATTCCTTTACAGCAGTGTACTATATCCTTTTGCAGTAAATTATTTAGTACTGTAAAAATTCAACGACAGCATTTCCGAAAGGTTTTTTTTTGTGGCAGAATCAAAATACAAGTCAGGAAAAGCTATACACTAGAACAATACATATATCGGAATTAGTACACATCGAAATGTACGCTTTTTCTAAAAAAAAAGTTCATTAGAAGATGCTAAGACCTAGTTGATATTCCGTATCAACTTCACAAATAATACATGATGGTCTTGAAGTATAGATTTTAGGTACTTCTACCATTTTCTGGCTACCATCAATAAACAGATTATTTTGCCACTTTTGGATGCGCATATAAATGTTTTATATTAAGAATATATTAAAAAATATTGTGCTATACATTCTATATACAGTAACAGTGAGGTTAAAAACATCCTGGACGGTGGTCTAAATCATCTCATGTAGGTGAGTCTTGAAACATTCAAGACTACCTACACTGGTACTGACGTTGTTTATCATCTTAATTACGTTTTATTAGGTCTTTCCACTTTTCCGTGGAAAGACCTATTGCTTTTGTTCTGATTATTATTATTATTATTTTTTTTTTCTTCCGCCTAATTTTTTTCTTGCGTAGTATTGTTGTTTCATAAGATGTCGTTTAGATATTTGGTATATGATATCGAAAAGTTTATACGCTTTTGAAACTGACAACCGCTTAACCGAATACTTTACGTTGTAAGAGTTATCTCCCCAAACACTGTTTTTCTTGTGGCCACTACTCCTTCGCAACCGTAAAAGATTACGACAAATTTATTTCACCAAATTGCTCGCTATATCTTCAGGATGTTGAGTTTGGTTTTCACCGAAGCGTTCCGGAGACTCCATATGAGAGTTATTTCCCCTTTTGCATTTGATATAAGTGATATGCATTTCTAACTGGTAAACCATAAGTGATAGAGACCTAGGGTCTTTTGATTTGAGGTCCTTGGTCCAAAAAAAAGAAAATTTGGTCAAGGTCAAAGGTCAAGGTCATATTCTAAATTTTGATTTTGGCTTGTTTTCATTTCTTTTCAAAAACAGTATAAGTTATCGACAACATATTATTACTAAATTGTAAGTTGCGACATGTCGTAACACATACATTTTGGTTTAAAGGGAGCGCTAACATTAAATTAGAGTTTTCTTCCCTCTTGTATTTAAAAATACTTGTATGGTGATATAACTCATTTACCATATATAACTAAGACCTAGGGTCTTTTGATTTGAGGTCTTTGGTTTATGACCTTGAAATTAAGCTCAAGGTCATAGGTAAATTTGACGTTCTAGATTTTGACCTTTGCTTTTACCTCATATGTATACATGATAAATCCATGGGACTTTTTGCATTAGGTTGCAAGCCATTTGTCCTTGAAAAATCCAACCGAAAGTGACCTTGTATAAACCGGAAGTAGCTATTTTTTCTACTTATTTAATATAAAAGTATATAGAACCATATATTTTTGGAATCAGTGTCAAGTAAACATTCAAATTATACCGGAAGTAACATTTTTCAAACCGGAAGTAACAAATTATCTCCCTTATTTAAAAAAAAATATATAGAAACCATATATTTTTGGAATCAGCGTACAATAAGCTATCATTTGACGCTGGAAATGACATTTTAAACCAAATTTTAATATTTTAATATCAAAATAGATCTTTATGGGTGGAAAGACCTTCAATTGTTCTCTGAACAATTGGTTTTTAATAGTTTTCTTTGATTTGTCTTTGTAAATTATTAACCTTTACTGTTAGTTCATTTTTGGTAATATCCTTTTGGCGTGGCTCGATACTTATACATCCCGCCATTGTGTTATTGTGCTATGTTTATTTTTTGTATTCTTGTCTTTTATTTTTGCTTATGTGCTTTGTCTATAAACCTTTTTGTTTTTCTTTGTTGACATATTTGTTAGTTTTCATAGTGATTAAGATTATAACACAATGTTGACTGCTGTGTCCCTATTTTTTACATTTTTTTCTTATTATGTCTGTTTGTTTTGTTCACACATTGTTGTCAATATAATGAGTTTTATGCTACTGTCATGCAAGTTAGAGGTTTAGCTAGCTATAAATCCAGGTTTAATCCACCATTTTCTACATACGGAAATGCATGTACCAAGTCAGGAATATGACAGTTGTTTTCCATTCGTTGATGTGTTCGAGCTTTTGATTTTGCCATTTGATAAGGGACTTTTCGTTTTGAATTTTCCATGGAGTTCGGTATATTTGTTATCTTACTTTTTACATAATTAGGAGCAATCTTAACTGTTTTGTGCTACACCAAGTTTTTATACGAAACGCAAAATGTGTTTAACTGAGATAGTAACGGGCGTGTAATGAATTGCAAATATACTTAGGAGATAACAGTATTGTATTTGTTAATTTGCAGGCATCAGTTGACGACTTGATGATCGGAAATTAAGTTTACTAACAACCCGTAAGCGGAATAGGTCGTGAAACTGATATTTGCGACCATCAAATGAACACTTGATACCTGAAAACCTTCAAATACAATACTGTAATCCCTATTCAAATGCAATTTAAAGATCTTACGGCTAAATCATACATTTTAAAATCTCATGACGTCACGTATGCGCGCACAATTACAGACAACAAGTCTCTCAATTGATGCAACGATAATTATGGCGTTTTCCGATCAAAATAAGCAATCTGCTTCATTAAAATGGTATACATACATAAAGAAATATGGTATTGTTTTTAATGAGTATTAATCATAACTTTGCTTTTGCCGGTGTTTAGGGATTGAAATGTGCATTATATCTTAACCGTGACATTTTTTCTTATTTATGTCATAAATTTGAGTAGGAAATTCCATACAAATTGATTCTTCAAGTAGAACAATTTTACAACTTTTATTTAATAAAGGATAGATGAGTGGGATGAACCTTCAATGTATCTTGACAAATAGACCTATGTGAAAGGAGATAAGTAGTCAATGAAACATATTTAATATGTAAATACTATAAAAATAAGGAGATGTGGTATGATTGCAAATGAGACAACTATCCACCAAAGTTCAAATGAAGAGGATGTAAGCAATTATAGGCAACCGTACGGCCTTCAACAATGAGAAAACTCCATACCGTATGGTCGGCTGTAAAAGGCCCCGACATGAAAAATATGAAACAATTCAATTGAGAAAACTAACGGCATAATTTATAACGAAGCAATTTACGAAAAACAAATATGACAGACATGAAACAACGACAACCACTGAACTACGGGCTCCTGACTTGGGACAGGCACATAACGAATGTGGCGGGGTTAAACATGCTTGTGAGCGCTCAACCCTCCCCTTAACCTGGGACAGTGGTGTAACAGTACAACATAAGAACAAACTATAAAAATCAGTTGAAAAAAAGGCTTAACTCATCAGATGGATACAAATAGAAATACATAACATAACACAGAGTGGACGTGGACGGGTATACATCCCAAAAACAAAACGACACTAAGTACAGATATGAGAGTACTCGCAGTTACTGACAGCTAGTTCAAAGCCAATAACAACTAATGAAAAAAATCATGTATCTAAGACTAAAATATCAATCAGTACACATCCAACATCCAATGGATTTAGTGTAAAGACGTCATTAACAGTCAGAGAAAAACATGACTTTGTGCAATGCCAAACTATAGGTATCGACAGATTGTAGTACCTCGAAAGTGTTATATTTGTAATATATAATATGTGTAATATTTAGTATGGTTTTAATTTACTGATAACTAAATCAATATTTATACCAATAAAAACAAATTCAAAGAATTAATTACAGTGTTGAATAGCTAACCTTTTAGAATAATTTTATTTAAAGGATTGATAAGTTTACCCGTATCGTATCTAAATTTCCGGGCTCAGTTTACAACATCACCGTAAAATTCCGTTTGAAATAAGTTTTCTGCAGGTACAGACAAAATCTTTGTATCTATGAAAGAATTTAGTAAAGGTTTTAAGTAATTTGTGGTAACGAAATCCCTGACTTAATAATTTACTGGTAATACATAGATTACGCTCATTAAAATCCAAAACGTCACTACAGACGTTTGTTTGACGATCTTTAAAACGTAAGTCGTTGCAAGATCTTTTTTTATTCGACTAAAGATGGATCTACAGAAAAGTGGTGATGTGATAATTTTACCTTTAACCGTATTTATCTATAATTAACTAAAAATGGTTGTAATAATATTCCATATACTAATTTCTCCAAAAATTTGATTGTCATAATATCCCATATACTCATTTCTTCCATAACTGATTGTATTAAAATTACAAATACTCTTTCTTCCAATACTGATTGTAATAATATTCCATATACTCATTTCTTCTAAATTGATAATAATAATATTCCATATACTCATTTCTCTCAAAACTGATTGTAATAATATTCCATATACTCATTTCTCTCAAAACTGATTGTAATAATATTTCATATACTTATTTCTTCCATAACTGATTGAACTAATATCCCATATACTCATTTCTGCCATAACTGATTGATTTAACACTATTTCTTTCAAATTTAATTGAATGCACGTGGAAACTGGATCCGTCTTCTTCATAATTACTAAAGTAATTATCCACCTAGAATCTATAGACATTGAAAATATTTTCTCTGTGTTGGAAGCCCGGATGTGACTTTAAAATAGACAACCGCAATAAAAGTTTCATTTCTTTGCTTTTGTCACGTAAGTGAAGGGATTTCATTAATCACTACTTTTCCATTACACAACATGTATAATATATGAATAGAATAGAGAATAGAAACGGGGAATGTGTCAAAGAGACAACAACCCGACCAAAGAGCAGAAAACAGACAAAGGCCACCAATGGGTTTTCAACGCAGCGAGAAAATCCCGCACTTTAGCTTGCCCATAGACAACAATGCAGTGTGTAAAGTTATTGTTAATCGTAGCTGCAATATTGTATTTAACTTCTATACTGTATCGGTGCTTTGCTTTTGAGCCAATTGGCATTTCATTTGCGCCAAAATAAAACTTTCATTTGCGCCACAAACCATATTTCATTTGCGCCAAAAACAAATTCACTTTCATTTGCACCACAAACCATATTTCATTTGCGCCAAAATAATTCATGCCATTTGCGCCAATAATACAGGTAAATAGTAGATCTATATTGAAAAGAGACTTTCAAATATAATATGGTCTCTTTTCATATTCCAAAATTAGTATGTAAAGCAACGTACACTATGACACAAGTTAATAAAAATGGTATCATGGCGAGACAAGAATAGAAAAATAAAAAAAAAACAATAAATGGGTTAGAGCGCGCAATTGTTTTGTTCATATAATCAGTGTGTTTCTGACTTTGTATACCATATCTACTTTCTTTAGACTGCCTCTGAGTTGTAAACAGTGCTGTTTTTGGTCCTGAAATTAAACAACAAGAACACAAATAGGTATCTAGAATACATGTAATTAGGAGGTATGCGGATTGAAATGGATGTTCATAAACATAATTCGATTGAGAACATAGAGTAAAAATAGAAAACTGGTAAATATAACAAACGCTTTATATGTTTCAAATATATCATGAGCACATATGTAAAACTTTTATATGTAAACACACCAACCATTATTAAAAGTATTTTTTCTTAAACGTGTTTTTTTTAATTATAAAATAATGTGTACATAAACCAGTAAAAATAATCTCAAAAGATCACTCATTTGTATTATCGCGTCAACCAAACATTTTTTTCTCTGGTTCGTGCGATTCAAAATGTTTATCATATGTAGACGACAATGATGATATGACTATTTTACTTCCGATTTTCCATCAAGGAGCATTTCTTGCATAAGTACTATTTACAACAGCTATACTAACTATTGCGCTAAGCTATGGCTTCTTTCGTGAACATACTATTAATTGACGGGTCGAAAGCATACTACCATCAACAATCGTACTGACCCGTTTTGTCGAAATGATTAATTTAAAATATATGCCAAAATAAGGGACTTTAGGTTGTTACGGACCCTTGTCACAAAAATGATATAATAAAAAGGAGCATTGGCTGTCAAATTCATTTTCAACAATTTGACTCAAATTATCATATTTGATTCATACCATGATAAAACATATATCCAAATTAAAAAAAATTCAAAAGATATAATAAAAATACATATATAATGTATCAGCATTGCTTGCATATTTTAGACTAGACGCCATCTAATTAACAGTCGAGATTACCTCAATATATACCAATGTCATATAACCTGATAAAAGCATAAATATAAATATATGTACGTGCAATTATATAGTGACGTTTTTTCTGGGTCTGTTTGATTTCTTGTCATAAATTAAATACAAGATGGTCTTGAGTTATAAATTCTAGGTGCTGAAATTATGTATCTTTTCATTTGACTTTTAGTTTCCTCGTTATTTGTCTTCTTGTTATAACTTTTTTTTTGGTCGTATGACTTTTGACGTTACTCGATATTTTTGCATCCTGCCATCGGGTTTTTGGCTTTTTAACTTTGGGCACTCCTGGTGCAGGTGAGTTTTGAGGTGCGATTCGGAAATAAAGGGTTTTTACAGTGTTGTTTCTTTTTTGTTAACCCTCGTATTTATATTAACTCATTTTTTACTTCATCGAGAAAGTGTACAGTAAGTACTATCAACGACAAAAAAGTTTTTGTTTAATATGGCAGTTGTTTTTCACTTGTTCCGTGGGATTGATAACGTTTGATTTTATCAGTTTTATGGACTTCTCCTTTTTGAATTTGCCTTGGAGTTCGGTATTATTGTTATCCTTTTTTAAAACCATATGTAAATCATCGTCTTACTTGTTTAAGAATGTTTTGTTGTTTTGTTTTTTTTTTTCTGGTGGTCCGAATCAGTCAACGAATTGGGGTTTTCAGACGCATCCCTTGTTTCACAAACTGAAACTGCTGCGCCCATGCACAACCCATCACCAGATAAGCGTCACATTGAAGGTCGCATGAATACGGATTCAAATGAGGTTGAATTATTGACTTGCAAGGTACAATACATCAGCGATGTCTTGAGCTTGTTTGGACAAAATTGAACCAAACTAATTGCTGATAGCAAAATATTATTTCAAAATTCGTCTTTCATAAATCTTTGAAACAAAATAACGATAGTAGGGTCCTTATATGAAAACTGTTATGTATATTCAAGTAAAGTGCTCAAAAATGGCTACAAAAAAGAGGACAAACATTTGATTTAAGTTTACGCGACTTATAATTTTATCGCAAAACCCCCCAAAATACGAGAAAGTGAATATTGAATATCTTCATGGTTAAAAATAAAAGATAAAAATAGGCAAAAGTTAAGTATTGTTATTTACCTTGAATCTGCATATTCAGATAAATAACGAGAACTGCATATGTTGCAAAACCACAAACCATGACTCTGCTGTATCCCCGTGCAGCACTCATCTAGCTAACCTGTATTTGTTAAAGAAAATTTGTAAATTAATTAACAGATTGCATCTATGTCATCCTCTCTCCCTTTCTGCGTGTGAAGACGTTTTCCATTCTTTATAAAATTCCAATCAACTGTCATGCACTTATTCTTGCAGTTTTCTTGTTATTTATTATTTATAGCTGCAAACGTTTTGTATTCGTTAATTTTTTTAAAGTTAAATAACTTTAAATTGTTCCTTTTTTTCCTTCACTGGATAATATCTTGTTAATATGCTCTTACAAAGTTGCAATGCAGGGAAAGGGATTGTTACAGTTTTGTTTTCAGCCTCTAGAACCCTAACTAACATATTCATATATTTTTTGGTTGCAATCGTTTTGTATTGGTTTAATTTTTTAAGTTATATTATGTTTGAATTGTTCTTTTTTTTTCCTTCGTCAGATAATATCTCTAAAAATGCCTTTACAAAGTTCCAATGCAGGGGAAGGTATTGTACAGTCGTGTAGTAAAGCCTCTAGAATCTTAACCTATTCATATTTAATTTTGTTGTATGTTTACATTTTCATCTTTAGGCCACACCAATTTGATTTGTAGTTCTTCGGACAAAAGCTCCAAAAAATATGGGGCGAGCGAGCGAAATTTTTTTTATTGTATTTTTTTCTGGAAAATGAGTTTTTATGAGGCGGGTGCTCTACAAGTGAAGCGAGCGGTATAATTTTTTTTTTAAATTGTGCGATTTAGAATTTATGTACATGTTAAAACTGGGTTACTTCATAGAAAAAGGAGAAGAAACATGCTCTAATGCATATAACTTGATGGATTGGCGCATGAACCATACCCAACTTTCTTGTCTCGCTGGGGTTTAGTTAATTTATAATTATTTTCGTCAAATAATCTTTGTCTGCGTGAATTTTCATTAAAATTCATACATGTGTATATATTAAGGAAGCATAGCAGATGCAGTTTAACAAGAGGAATTATGCACAGGCACTTGTCTCAGAAAAAAAATTTCCTATATACCTTAATATAACACGTTATTAAGGTATATAGGGGAAAAAAATTCTGAAACAAGTGCCTGTGGAATTATGTTAGGTAAATGACATATGTTGAATAAAATTTAAATATGTGTACATGTATGTACCAAAACAAATGCCCCTGCAAAATATTAAATATTTTTTGATATAGTTGTTTTCATTATATCTATATATGGTAATGATTGTTTATTGGCTGCTTGATGTCCACTTTGAACTATTTATCCATACAAAGAATCAACATAATGAGTGAGGTGAATATTTCAACATCATGAGTAAGATATTTATATTGCTATGCATGTAGATCTCAATGTATTAAAATATTCCCTTAAAATAATTGACACAACATTCACATGCATTATTCTGACAGCAAAATACTCTTTCCTTTTGCTCCTAAAAGCTGCAATGCATTTTAAACTCTTTAGCTTGACTAGAAGTGGTTGAACCAATTACACATCTCTAATTGTTATGAGCATGCCAATCACAATACCACCACTTTGGTCTCGAACGTTGGAACTCTTAAATTTTCCCTTACAAAAGATTTCTGCTTGTATGCCAATAGACTAACAAGGGGATATGGACTTTCATCAAAATAAGATAAATCTGTGATTTTTTTTAAAATTCAAGGGAATTTAATATTAATTTCATCCAAGATAGATAGGTCTATAAAACAACAAACATTGTAGATAAATTTGTACAAAACAGCAGCCGGTGTTTCAAAATTCCACATAGCAAATCTGAACAATATAAACCGTCATTCTTTGTAAAAACATTTTTTTTATTGGAATAGACTACCAAACAATCTCGTGTGTACCAATACAATTGAGAGCTTTAAAACTTCGGTTGCTCTCACATCGTTGGACTAATTTTCCAGCGCCTTTCTTCCGTTGGCGTTGCCATTGATGCCTATCCTGGCCCTGCAACGTACTTATTCAGATTCAGGTCTATGTCTGTTGAAACAATAATCCGGGATGACGATGGTTCTAACGAACATTGATGTGATCGTGGTCATCTAAAGACAGATTTTTAATATTTGTCTCCTAGAACAGGTCTTCATAGATAAAACGAGATGCATTTCGGATAACTGTGTGTTCAGTAACTACTTGTCCACGACAATGAGCTGACACAACTACATGTTGGCATCCCGATTTTTAACCTTTTATTTAAAATTCGATTTATCACACGTGCGTTTGAATCGAACTGAGCAATATATGCACAAGAAAAACGTCTATGTGAAAAAAAAATTTCAAGGAGAAACAAAATTTGGAGCGGCATGCGGCCCAAAAATTTGCGGAAGCGGTAATTTTTTTCATTTATTGAAAAGTCAATTTCTCCAAAACAGGAGCGGGAAAATCCAAAGAACTATTAATCAAATTGGTGTGGCCTTATCTGTGCTAACTTTTTTTTTGCCTTTCGATACTGTTGTATTCATTTTGCAGCAGATTGATATCCATTTTATACAACTAACGATCTTTAGATATATGTGACCCGCCATGACATTTCCAGGCTTATGAGTTAGAACGTCATTGTTAGAAAAACGCCGTTTAAACATGATAAATATCGAGGTTCAATTGAATAAGTATTTGTGAAGAAGAGATACACATTTTACCTTGGCTTCTTTTTTATTGGCACTGAACTATTCATCATATATAAGTTCTGAAGAAGTTTAACGTTATCGTTTGAAGTGAAAAATATTTGAATCTACATTTTAAATTGATACAAAAAAGTCAAAATTCTCTGCTCTATAGATTTTTATAAATGGAGTGTAAAATATACCCATAATAAATGCACCGTATAAAATGCATATATGAGAACAACTACTTATAAACTGTCACGCGTCGCATACTATGTATAGAGACATGCATCATAAGTCTAAGTAAAAAGACAAATTAAAAAAAAAGGAATTCTAAAAGCTTTCTTTGACAAATTTTATATTAACTTCATTTCAACAAGTTTAAATCATATTTTCTAAAATAGAGCTAAGTAGTAAATTTAATTCGTTTGAAATTTTTATTCAAATACGATGTTGGAGATTACTAAGCGCCAATAAAATACAATAATTTTGTATTTTATAAATTAGTGCCTTCGATAATAAAAGTCGTCATCGAATAGTCTCATCATCATGCCGGTATTCAAAAAGACTCGTTTCATTGTTATTACAACAAATAGGTCATAATAACATGACAGAGTTTTTTGTTTCAGTATGTTCTAGATAAATATACAAAAAGAAAATTTTAGACAAGCCACGTTGAAAGTTGCTAGTCACATATAGTTAACGGCGTCTTTTCTCACAATGACGTCTACCTCCATAAGCCTGGAAATGTCGTGGCGGGTCACACATTTCTTTCTATAACAAAAGGACATTTACAAAACATACTTTACTTCAATTTATCGTCCCACTTTTCCATATACCTTGTACAACTATTGATTGCCGAACGTTAACTAAAAAAATCTTCATTATTCACATAGAAATGCTAATTTATTCAGTATTTCTATGGGTGTATCAAATTGCTTTTTCAGTACGCTATGAAGGTCTTGAAGGTTCCCAGGTTTAATCCACTTATAAAACCTTTCGCAACAGAACATACGTTTGCAGGAATAATGATTTTCAATAGCAAAATTAAAAGACAACAAAGTAAAATAAATAGAGGATATCATATGGCTTTTCATTATCTTACCTCCTATACATTTCTAGGAATATCATTGGTTACTGAAAGCGACGGCGTGGAGACCGATTATATTTAATATTGGTCAGCGGGCGTGTTTTATTTTAATACACGGTTTCAAACTCCGAAACAGCGGTGGCGTTGATTTGCTAAAAGTTAAATCAACGTAGCGTAGCACAAACTCCGAAACAGTGGTGTCATAATGTAAATAAAGGGAAGTATGACGATTACGCTGTATGGAGTTTGAGCGTAGCAAGGAGGACGTTACCACTGTTTCGGAGTTTGACACCGTTTGTAACGGTGTTCAAACGGTGTTACGTCCAATTATGAAAACAACATGACGTTGAAGAAAAATCTGAAACGTTTCGCACAGAAAACAGATGAAGACATTGATGATAAAAGACTGAAAATAAATGTAGAAAGCACATTAAAAGCTAACACTTTGTTATTGTTGGCATTTTTTTTTTCTATATAGACCAATGAAAGTAGGTTCTTAATATTGAAGACTTGGTCACTTCAATAGGCCACTAGTCTAAATGACACATGTCAAGATAATCGGTAAGATAACGTCGTTACACAGAGTGTTAGTGACCTAATACGATATATACAGGGTCAGTAAATTTCATATGGGGTGAGAGCGAATCAGTAAGTTTCATATGGCTCTCACTCATATGAAATTTACTGACCCCATATATATCGTATTAGGTCGCTTAAACCCCATATGAAACTTTCTGACCACGTATATATCGTATTAGGTCACTAGTACACTGTGTAACTAATAATATCACACCCGTGTCAACACTAGACCTTAATATAATCCCAAGAGCTCTGCTCGAGAGATGATATTGGTTGAGTATTGATACGGAGCGTAATATTGAAAAAGCCATATCTTAAATACTGTATCATATATACCTCAAGTATATGTATTTCACGTGAAATGACGTCATCCAGATTAGGGGTTTGATAAAGCCTTTGCGCGATATCATCATGGATGGCTAATACAGAACGATTGTCAATGCTTGTATTAGTAAATCAGTTTACAGAGTGAACTTTAGACTCGCAGTGTCATAGTTATTATATAATCTACACGTATTTATCTTTATTGGCCCTTTATTTGAATTTGTTTGGGAAATTACAGAAATAAGAAAGTCACTACCATATCCGTTACAGTTTAAATACTTCGTCCTCAACATACATGAAATATTTGTTACTGGATGTTAAGCAACCAACAATCAATCATCAATGAATAATTTTAACTACTAAACTTCATTATTTCTGTATTAGAGAATTTATAAGAAGTAGTGGATTCGTAAACGTTAATCAACG